AAACTTTCTGCATTTTTACAATTTAAAAAAAACTTTGCTTACTTTATTTTTAAACCAGTTTTACAAATGAGGACGTCCCCAAAGGGAGGTTTTTGGAGATTTTGTCAGGTTTTGCTCATTTTTGGGTACAAATTTGTCCTCAAAATATGGTTAAGTAGGTACACACACACACACACACACACACACACCCAATCAGATTCAAATAATTATAAAAAAAAATGATTTTGAAATGGGAAATCTCGCAATAAATAAAATGTAAACAGCATAATTCCATTAAAGTATTTTGTTTAAATAACTAGTACGCACGAACAGGCAGTGATGCGGGCAGCCCGCGGGTCTTTCGAGTCAATGCGGAAGCGGCCAGAGGTGTAGGAGCAGGAAAACCAAAACGATTGTAGTAGGATTGTAGAAAACCAATATTTTCTCTTATATTTTTAATTCCACACAGCCATTAAACATTAATTTAAATCACCGTAATTAGTTACTTTTTTATGGAGTAACACAATATTGTAATGCATTACTTTTAAAAGTAACTTTCCCCAACACTGACACAACACTGTATAAATGACATATTTTATTAATATTGTATAAGCTAATACAATTATTCCAACAATAAGTATTTCATGTCAATTTATTGATTTGGCAAGTTAGGCATGTAGAAGTGGAATAATGTCATTATTGCAAAATAAACCTCTTCTGCTTGATCACCTTGGATGACTGTCCATAATCCCTTTACTTGTTTTCCTTGTTTCTTTGTGTTTCATGGGAAAAAGTCCTCCGGATAGCAAACCATATTAACTCACAAAACTGTTTTCTTTTTGTTTAGGAACAAGCCTGAAGCCGTAGAGGTTACGTTTGCAGGTAAGGTCGAAATATGGATGAGCTCAAAAGTGGAAGTCCAAACATTACTATGCATGCTTGTAACTGATCTTACAATAAAAGTAATGTTTATTTTACACTGATAAAATCTAAATGAATAACATGGGGTCTTATTATTCCTTTGTTACAGACTTTGATGGTGTGCTTTACCACATCTCCAACCCCAATGGAGACAAAACTAAAGTAATGGTCAGCATCTCTCTGAAGTTCTTCAAGGAGCTTCAGGAGCACGGCGCCGATGAGGTACGAGAAATAATCACAAAACCTGTCAAAAACATGTCTGGGTTGCATTTGACCATAAAATCAAAATTAAGATCCTAAAAATCGACTCTCTCTATACAAAATATACACTACAATACAAACGTTTGGGGTTGGTATGATTTTCAAAATGTCTTTTTTTTTAAAGAAGTCTCTTATGTTCCCCAAGGCTGCACTTATTTGATTTAAAAAATATATATATATATATACACTACCAGTCAAAAGTTTTTGAACAGTAAGATTTTTAATGTTTTTTTTAAAGAATTCTCTTCTGCTCACCAAGGTTGCATTTATTTTATCCAAAATACAGCAGAAGCAGTAATATTGTGAAATATTTTTACTATTTAAAATAACTGCTTTCTATTTGAATATATTTTAAAGTGTAATTTATTCCTGTGATA